AAAAATCTGCCCAGGACTGTAATTTTGTAAGCAAAATTATACATCCTTAAAGTTTGAACTGGGTCTTTCGTCCAACAGAGAAGTTGTAGATCGTTTTCTTATCTTTCCAACGACACCAAGAACGTCCAAATCCGAGGTCTGTAGCTCCAGATATGGCCTGCACAAGAAAACTGTACAAAACTGGAAAAATACGAAAATTAACCAAAAATTACAACTAATGTCTAACTTGACTTATTAAATCAAAACAAATCAAAAAAATAACAAAATAACATCAACACTAGCCTAAAATACTATAAACCAAACATAAAAGAATGAGTAAAAATATATCTATCATATACCAATAGAAGTTTTAACATTTATATCTCTCATGCCTACGATGTCTAAAAATTCATCATCTGCTAGAGACACTTCTGAAATTTTTCATCAAGTCCTTGCAAGGAGAAGTATGGAAAGATGAACCAAAATCAATGATTTAGGATTCAAACTTATTCTCAACACAACATATTACCGCATCATCAATGTCTTCTTGTGTTGCATTCACTATATTGTCATGCTTATTTTCTTTAAGAGTAGTACGCCTAAAGTGTTCTGTTGATAATTTCAATAAATAATATCCTTACAAGGTTTGGACTGTCTTCGCCTATTAGACTTTGATCTACTACGCCCAGAGTCTTGCCCTCTTTCAGGCTTTCTACCTCTACCTTTGGTGCTTAATAAGGAATTTGTTGATTCTTCAACCTTCCTTCTACGAACATCCTCATTAAGGATTACATTCTTAATTCCTTCAAAGGTTAACTTCGTAGTCTTAGATGTACTAGTCATTGCAATGACAGTTCTTGACCAACTATTAGGCAACAAAGATAGCAACAACAGAGGGCTTGTACTTCATCACCAAATTTAATATCCATTGACATTAATCTTGATAATAAAAAATTAAATTCATTTACATGATATGTAATAATAACACCTTCTCACATCTTCGTGTTAAATAACTAACAAATCAAGAATACATTATTTGATGTTGATGACTTTTGATACATATTTAATAATGTCTTTATTAAACCATATGTTGTCTTCTCGTTGGCGATGTTGTAGGCAATATCTTCACCAATGTTAATCTGACGACGCTGAAAGTCTGTCGATCTAACAATTCTCAATCTGCTTGAGACCTCGTTTTTTGTTTATTTTCAGATAAAGGCTGATATAACTTTTTCTTATACAAATAATATTCAATCTGCATCTTCCAAAATTTGAAATCACTTCCATCAAACTTATCAATCTTTATTTTCTCGTTTTCATCATTGTTCTCACTCGCGTGAAAAAACCTAAGCTCCTAATACTAGTTGTTGAGAAAACACAAGTGCACTACAAAACAAAAGTAAATAATAAGAATACAAAGAATTTATGTAATTTAGTAAAAATAACATATATCCACAATTGCATTAGATAATAGTTCTCCTTTACTTAATTAGATTTAGAATTACATTAATATTTATAATAAAAGAATATTATTATTATTATTATAATGTAAAATAATTATAAGGACTAGAAAAGTTTATTACCTATTGAATATTTCTCATAAATAATTATACATTTTGTACAGTAATATTTAATTAGGTAATATATTACCAAATTAAATATATCATAATTAAATAAAATATTTTATCTATTAGATGTTATTAAAAGTATTCATGAAATTTATTAATAACATAATTGGTTACAACATAAAAAAAATATATAAAAGTTTAAAGGAAAATCATAATTAATATGGTGGTAATATAACGTCATAAAAAAAGTAAAATAGTTCTAATAATCTTTATAATATTAATATAAGATGAATAATTATTATAAATATTAAAAAAAATTAATATAGTTTACGAGTTTCAAATATTTATTTTACAGCACATAAAAAAAGTTATATATATCGTAATACATTATTAGGTTATACTTTTAAATAAATTGGTTCTGTTTTAATGTTTATATTGTATTATTTAAATTAATTAAAACTTGAATCCGATCAACGTTAGAAAATGGTGCTTTATTGTATTTTTCGCAATTTATCAATATTTGGAATTTATTACTTTTTTTTATACAAAATTTATGATTTTGAGTACATATATTAATGAGAGAGTTTAATTCACATCATTTTATAATATCATTGATACAAAATTATCATTTTATAATATCAGTATATTGTAACTGTAACACAAGTTTTTTACCATAAATGAGATCACTCGATGAAATAATCTAATTTTATTTATTTGATTGTTTGATTTATTAAAGGAGGGGGATGTAAGTTTTTTTTTTTTTCATTTGTGAAATATTTAAGAATGAAAAATATTTTATTCAGGTAAGTAGATATGTCCCTTTACAATCTTTCAATCATGAATTGTCCTCTAGATGGATGATATATTTAGAAGATGCCTAAGACACATTTGAATCGTAATTCATGTTTGACACTTCCATCTTCCCCATAAATTAAAAATCATATCATATATATTTAACATCTATGTGACAATATTCTTTAAATAAACATTATATGTTATAATATGATATGCTTTCCAACAAGAATGTTATAGTATGATTTAAATAAATGTTATACGTGTATAAATAATATATTTGTGAGTTTCATTTAATTTAATTGTCAAATGTTATTTTTTTCAATATTTTGTCTATCATTGTTAATTTTGAAATTTTTTTCTTATTTTGATATTAACATATATATGATGCTATATGTCTTTGGAAATCTAAGACAATATATACAATTTCCTTACTCGTAATAAGTAGAGTCACAAAGTTACATACATTATGGTTGTTGATACCCTTTCATGTGTTCATTATTTTGAGACTATTGTGAGTGGGAGGTTAGATTAACATGAAACCAATGCCAAAAATTTGAGGATAGAATTTTCTACAATTTTCATCCATCTAAAATCTCAAAAAGGAAAAAGTTTAACTCATTTAAATATTTTATTTTATTATAATTTGAACTATTAAATTTTATCTTATTTCATCATTAAGAAGAGGATCTAATTTCACTAGTGCAAAAAGGGGCTTTTACGTCAGGTATTTAAGGTTTTTTACGTCGTATTTAAGATCGACGTTAGAACGGGAGACGTAAATTTACGTCGGACCCTTTAGCTCGACGTAAATTTACGTCGATTATCAAGACCCGACGTAATTTTGCGTTGCATATACCACTAAACGAGACGTAAAAACTTTCGTAAATTAAAAAAAACAAGCAAATTTACGTCGCGTATTGGTATATGCGACGTAAATTTGCTGTTTTTTTTTAAATTGGGTTGATTCTGTTTTACAACTAAAACCCGCAAATATATATTACAACCAGGACAGTTCGGAGATTCAATTTTCTTTAGCTAGTAAATTAAAAATATAATATTATATAATTCAAACTACATAATAAAACAATATAATACAAACATACAAACTAAAAAATTTATTACAAACTAAAAGTTAATACAAACTAAGCTACCTAAACTACATAATACACACAATATAATATGAACAAGAACTTAAAAAATTATGTACTAGAATTGTTGAACGAAAAACCTTGCCCATTATTCTCTAATTTGTGTGATATCATATTCGGCAATGGAGATGGATCTTGAAATACCCGAAACATTAATTTGACTCTTGTAAACATGCAACACACATAAAGTTAAATAAACTTAACTAATGCTGAAAATAATTACCTCCAGTCCAAGAATCAGCTTATACCTGCACAAACTATGACTCTCATCTAATACATAACATAGTAACCACATTCAAATGAGTCTGTTTGCTTATTACACTCGAAATGATGAATAAAATATAATGTTATTTTCAAAATTTAAATACAAACAATAATTATGGTATTCACTTATTATAATAAGTTTCTAATCTTAGGATAAATGAATTGCAAAGTCTTTGTTCCGGGTTTTCCACTTAGAACATTAATTATAGACACGATTTTAAATGAAAAAAGCCATATATTATTCAATACCTTTTCCATTTTCACTACCAAATTTCAAAAATTCATCAACTCCCTTTTCATACTCTTCACTAATACGACGTGCATTCATCCAACTTCGATTCATATTATGTTATAAAGTTTCGTCACTCCTAGAGATTCAAAATTTATATTTAAAAATAAATTAATATACAAACAATAAAGCACGTATATGGAGTGTGTAAACCAAAAATGCACTCCAACAAACTAATGACATTCCAATAACAATCCAGTGGAGACATTCATACAATGACGTGATTGAGATCCCGAAAAGCAATCACGGATTCAATTTGAACATATATCAGGAGACATAGAACACTAACCTCGAGTAAACACGAAAACGATTTCAAACTCGAATCCAATCGGGGAGAAATGTCAAATTCGTAAAATGAGACACAATGTTGATGTTCTTCACTGCCAAAATGATCGAAAATGGTGTGGAAAGGTAGTTATCGTCATCATTCTCATTGTCGTTCTAAAAAACTCTTGCGGCGCGAGATGCAAGAGTGGGTATGGAAGAGAATAAAAAGAACTTTTTACGTCGCACACCATAGTACGTGACGTAAAAAGTGATATTTTTACGTCGCGCACCCGCACGTACTTTTTACGTCGCGCACCCCCATGTGACGTAAAAAGTGATACTTTTTACGTCGCGCACCCCCACGTGACGTAAAAAGTATCATTTTTTATGTCGCGCACACCCCACGTGACTTAAAAAGCTCTCTTTTACGTCGCGTTGTACCAGATGCGACGTAAAAGAGGTTTTTAACGTCACCTCCTACAATATGCGACGTAAAAGTTTCACCTCTTAATTACAAAATTGCCACCGCGTTTTATTTACGTCGAATATTTTGAAATGTCACGATAAAATGTCATTTTTGCATTAGTGTTTTGTCATTTAGATGAAGATTTTATCTTTTCATTAGCATTTGTAGTCACTAACATTTCATTGGAATTTGAGTAGAATTTGACATCCATTTTTTTTTTTAAATCACATAGCAGGGAATGGGTTAAGCCTTGGAACAGGAACACAAAATAAAGGGTGAGCCCTTGGAAGAGTGAGGCCAGACTTCTCTTCCATGTCCACTTTGCCATTACCACCATTAACCTTCAATTGGAAACACTGAATCATCAGAGCCAGATTCACATGCACAACTTGTAATCCTAGAGAAATACCAGGGCACCTTCTTCTTCCACTTCCGAAAGGAAGTAGATTGTAATGTTGTCCCCTAACATCCAATTCCTCTTCACCAATAAACCTCTCTGGTCTGAACTCAAGAGGGTTTTTCCACAGATTGGGGTCCCTACCAATAGCCCAATTGTTGATAAATAATCGAGTCTTGGCAGGAATATCATACCCACAGACCACTACACTTCTTGATGACTCTCTAAGAAGTAATGGACCAGCTGGATGAAGCCTGAATGTTTCTTTAACAATGGCTTGCAGGTAAGGAAGGTTGTTAATGTCTGATTCTTCTACTATTCTACTCTTTCCAACCACTGCATCTATTTCTTGCCTTGCCTTCTCCAACACATGTGGATGGTTGATTAACTCTGCCATAGCCCATTCTATGGTTACTGATGATGTGTCAGTCCCAGCAACAAATATGTCCTACATATGTTGTCATTAGAAACAGACAAGTTATGTCAGTCATTTTTCCATGAAAGGAAATGAAGAATGGACACCTACACTCTCGTAGACTATTATCATCATGTGATCTTTGACTTAAGGTACAAATAACAAGGTGTTTGTGTACGATATGATTACTCTTTAGTTAATGTTGAATAAAAAACTGCATAATTCCTTTATCGACTTACCAGGATGAAGGCCTTAATTTTGTCTTTGTTTAGTTTGATTTCGGAACTCTCATCTTCGAACATGTCCAATAAAACATCAAGCATATCCTTAAACGGACGTGTTCCACCGGTTTGGTTGTTGATCCTTCTTTCCTCTTCACGCTGCTTTATGATTCTGTCCAACACAGCATCGAACTTGTCCCGAGTTTTCTTGAGCCTCGTGTTGAATCCTTGCAAATCGAAACGCTTCAAGAACCAAATGAAGTCCGATATGTTGAACTTCCCCACGAGCTCTGCAGAATCCGCCACCAGCTTCTTCATCTCTTCGATGTCATTCTCGTTCTCAGTACTCGTCTGACTCACGGCCATTCTCGACACGATGTTATTCGAGAGTGTCATCAACTCTCCTCCGAAATCCACGGCCTCACCAGCCACCCCTTTTTGAAGCACGCGTTGGATGAATCTCTTGCTCTCTTGCTGCCTCACGGGAAGGAGCTGGTCCAGCATGTGGCCACCGAGAAGTTCAGACATGCACAGTTTCTTCATGAACTTCCAGTAGGGTCCGTAGGGTGCGAAGAAGAAGTCTTGGAAGCCGTAGGTTAAGGCCTCAACGGCTACGGCTTCAGCAGGGCGGTTGGAGAAGGAGGCTTCGTGAGTTTTGAGGAACTCTTTGGCTGCTTGTGCGGTGGAAGCCACCACACAAGGGACTGAGCCGAGGAAAAGGTGCATGATGGGTCCATAGCGGATTGAGAGCTTGTGAAAATCTTGGTGAGGTATTGAGGAGAGAAGGTAGAGGTGACCAATGATGGGGAGGGCCATTGGACTTGGTGGAAGGAGGGTCTTGTTTTGTTTTCTCCACATTAAGGATGCAATCACGATGGTGAAAATCAAACAAATGAGTAACACTTGAAATGCCATACCTTGAGTATTATCAAGTGTTCTTTTTTTATTGATCATGAGGTAGCTTGGTGAGAAACTAATAAAGAGTGATTAAATAGTAGTAGACATCCTTGGAGGCTTACCATTCCCTCTTCAACTTCAGATCTTTGTACTGGCTTGAATTCTTTCTTCGCTAGTTGAGGATTTTGGTATAAAGGTAACGAGTGTTTGAATTGTTTTTTTTTTTTTTTGTAGTTATCTATTTGGGTTGTGAATAATATTTTTATTTGGCAATAGACTTGGGACAAAGGGTGCAAAAGGTGTAGATTATTAGGAAATTATCTAAAATGAGAAAAAAAAAAAGAGAGTATATTTTGACAATTTCTTCAATTTAGACATCTATCCAATAATCTAGTTATTATTAAATTGAATTGTATATGGGATGTTTGTAGGAATGGGATCCTTAAGAGATTAGCCCTCAGTTGAAAAATATGCAGCATCCATAATTGAGAGCATCGAGATTCATTGAACTGAGAACCGCCAGAGTGTTCAGAATGGGCCTAAAGCAAGTTGGTGCACTTGGTTTGCCTATCTATTATTTTATTAGAGCAATAATTTTTCATGAATATATTTTAAGAAAACTATATTTTGGCCTCTCATCTAAATTAAACATTCATTTAACAACATACTTCAATATTATAATAATAAAAAATAAATTTTATATTTATTATTGTATTATTCAATAGTGTTGTGGATGAATTGTTGAGAAAATAAAAAATTGTACCAGTATCATTCCTCTAAGATTCACTCGTACTTGGCTAACTCTTGCTTCAGCATATTCATTTTAAATTCATTAAAGTAAGTTGACAAATATCTTTATAGCTTCGGTTTTCTATTTTCAACTTAAAATATCAGGCTGTAAACCAAATTTGACTCAATCAAAACCCATGTTAAAATCATTGCTCTGTTTTGTGATTAATATATATAATGAGAGAGTCAATTTCACAATATTCATCATAACTCCATTAGAACTAAGGAGAAGGGTTGGATCTAGTTTTTTAGGATTTTTTATCGAAATAGTGTAATTGTTTTTGTAAAATTTAATGAAATGGATCATTTAAAAAATATATATATATATATATATTTAAATAAATTATGCTATGAAACACAATTTTAATATAAAGAAATCATATTTCATCATACGATTTTAATTTTTTTTTATTTAAGAAGAAATCGTATTAGATAATATGACTACTAAAAGTCATACCTCAATTTTTATTATTAATTATAATAATATTTTTTATATTATTAATAATAGTATTAATTATTATTAATTAATACCAAAATAATAATAATATTATTATCTTATTATTAATAATAAAATAATATTTACAATTATTATTAATTATATTAACAAATATAAATATATTTATTTTATTATTAATTATAATTAAAATAGGTTTGACTTCTTATATTTCGGTTTATTCCGTAAGTTTACGATATGGGTTTTGATTTTATTTTTTTTATGTATTTATATTGAAAAACTTAATATTCTATATGCTAATCTGATTTGGATATCTCTTTCGTTAAGCTGTCACGTGTAGTTTTGTTAAAAAATATATAAATATATAAATAAAATAGAAAATAATTAAATATATTAAATATTATTAGAAACTATAATAATATTATTTTTTATAATATAATTATAATAATTGTTCAATATAATAATTAAATTAATAATAATAATACTTATATTATTAATATAATAATATTATTAATAATTATATTGTTATCATCTTAATATTATTAATAATATAATAATAAAAATCGTATATTCAATATAAATTTTATATAAAAATCATATATATCTAAGACGATTTCTTCTTAAATTAAAAAAAAAATGAAATCGTGCTATCACCACTAATTCTGATTTCGTAAGACCATTTACTCAAATAATTTTTAAAAAAATTATCTATTTAAATAAATAAAATAAAAATCTAACATTTCGATGCAAAAGCCCGTTTTTTTAAGTGTTTATGTTGTTATTCAGTACAGAACAAGGATTTGTATAATTTGGAAGAAATTTTAATTAAAATTGAAAACGACATAAGTTTGGGATAAACCATGTTTGCGTTCATTGTGCAAAGCATACAGGGTCTGAAATTTATGATGATGAATACTAAAGTTTTTCTATTTCTTTTCTCCCTGAACCAATCTTGATTTTGTTTGATCAGTATCACAGGGGAGGGAAAGGATTAAGCCTAGGCACAGGAACACAAATCAACGGATGAGCCCTTGAAAGAGTTAACCCAGTTTTCTCTTCCATGTCAACAGTCTCATTGCCTCCTTCAACCTTCCATTCAAAGCACTGAATCATAGCAGCAAGGTTGGTCTGTACAACCTGCAAAGCCAGTGAGGTTCCAGGACACCCTCTTCTTCCACTTCCAAATGGAATCAGGTGAAAATATTGTCCCCTCACATCTAACTGGTTCTTACAAGTTCCGTCTTCACTAAGAAACCTCTCTGGTCTAAACTCAAGTGGGTTCTCCCAGTGATTAGGATCCCTACCAATAGCCCACACATTAACAAACAACTGAGTCTTTGGTGTAATCTCGTAGCCCCAAATAGTGCAGCTTTCAGACGATTCTCTAACAATTAATGGACCTGTGGGGTGAATCCTCAGCGTTTCTTTGACTATAGCTTGTAGGTAAGAAAGGTTGACAAGGTCTGATTCTTCAACTAGTCTATCACTTCCAATCACAGCATCAATCTCTTGCCTTGCTCTCGCCATCACATATGGGTGGTTAATCAACTCAGCCAGAGCCCACACGATTGTCAAGGCTGCAGTGTCTGTTCCTGCCATGAACACGTCCTGCAAAATTTATAAAAATATATCATCAGTTTTCTCATGTTTGACAAATTTTGGATCCAACACAAAATTACTTCAAGTTGTTAGTTAAATCAGTTCTGAACCTAGATTCAGTCATGTAATGTAAAAACAAACATGCAAACATTTATCTAACATCAATTGACTGATAATATAACATAATTGTGGATCAACTAAAGTCAATCAAAGCATGAAAATGAAATTGGTCACAGACAGTGACTTACCAAGATGAAGGCCTTGATGTTCTCTTTCGTCAATTTTATGTCAGAGTTATCATCTTCATGTATGTCTAATAATACATGAAGTAGATCCTTGATTTGACCATCTCCGTCACTTCCCACTTCTTTTCTCTTCTTCCTTTCCTCTTCATGCTCCTTAATCACCCTCTCCATCATGCTGTCAAACCTGTCCCGAATATCCTGGAGTCTTTTCCCGAATCCCTGCACGTCCCAGTTCTTAAAGAACCAAACGAAATCCGACACATTAAACTTCCCTGTGAGAAGAACAGTGTCTTGCACCAACTTCCTCACCTCTTCCGCTTCACTCTCATCTTCAGAACATGTTTGGCTCATAATCATCCTCGACACAACGTTATTCGAGAGTCTCAAAAGTTCTCCCCCAACATCAATGGCCTCACCTGCCTTCCCTTTCTTGAGCATAAGCCTCAGAAACCTTAACGTTTCTTGTCTCCTCACAGGAAGAAGCTGACTGAGTGTGGCCCCCCCCAGAAGTTCAGACATGCATATTTTCTTCATGAATTTCCAATAAGGTCCATATGGCGCGAAGGAGAAGTCCTGGGAGCCATATGTTAGAAAATCAACTGCAGAACTTTGCGGGCGGTTGGAGAAATGGTTTTCGTGAGTTTTGAGGAATTCTCTAGCAGCTTCTGGTGTGGAAGCTACGACACAGGGCACAGAACCAAGGAAAAGGTGCATTATGGGTCCATAGCGAGTAGAGAGCTTGTGAAGAGCCTGGTGAGGTATTGGAGCAAGAAGGTGGAGATGTCCGATGATGGGCAAGCTTTGTGGACTTGGTGGTCTGTTAGTCTTGTTTTGTTTTCTGCTGAGCATGGCTCGAACCACGATTGTGGAGACTAAACATGTGATGAAAAGTAAGATGTAGCCTTGGTAATCAGCCATATTTGATTTGAACGATTTGCAACCAAATGAAAATATGCGGGTTACCAGCATATATAGGAAGGAAAAAGGATCTTCCTAATAACACCAAGTGCATAATTTCTAGATTTTGTTTGATACTCTTATCTGTTTTGGTAATGGACATCTATGTGTTGCTGGCCGGCAACGTATCAGTTTTCAGACAAAGACATTGTGACCAAGTCCTGCCTCTAATAAAAAATCACCTGGTTGGTTGTCTTTGTTTGCAAAGAAAGTTCGATTATTTGAAACATGGTAGCTGTCCCATTTATATTTGCACGTATACAGAAGCACAGATACACGCACTAGTTAAAAGGGTCTGATACAATTTTAATTTTCTGAGAATTCTGTATGCTTTCATTTTCTTGCACCTATTTGTCCTTCCATCTGAATCATCTTTAGAATATAAGTATAGAATGCTTAATAACTTCGTCAATTATAACGGGAAGTGATGATTGTGAAAAGTAAAGAATTATGACTAGTTGATGAATATTAAATCCTATGAACAATATTTCATATTTCTTTAATCTGCTATAGCTATATTTTATTTGCGCTTATACGTTGGACTGCATCACACGAAAGTAATACTTGAATAATTAAAACCGATTTATTTTCTATATATGACCTTTTAACTTGGTTAATTAATTGAATATATATTTATGTCAATTCTTCTCTGGGTTTTATGCGCTCTTATTGCTAACATTTTGGCAATAGGACAGTATGAATCTAAGACTGCATCAATCTCTGCCCTCAGCATCCTCAAGATTCCTGGGGTGTTTATGATTTCTGCCATGGCCCATGGGGACGCTTTTCAATGTCCCCGTCCATGTTCTTAAAATATATTTTAATTAAACTAACTTTATTTTGATTTTTATTTAACAAAAGTAACACACTTATATCATTTAGTCAATGATAAATAGTCTAATTCTAATATTTATTCCAATCAAAAATTAATACTATCTTAAAAATAACGACATATATAAATGAATTATAATAAAGATTATGTCTACTTATTTATTATAGGTTGTCATATTCCTAATTAATATTAAAATTTTTAAAACACTTCCTTATTAAGAATAATTTTTTTATCACATTCTCAATAAAAACATTCCCATCACATTCCATCTTTTAAAAGAGATTTTCATTGTATTTTATTATTTTAAAAAAAATCATTATTCTTAAGAAGATTTTTCATCCTAATCCTTGTATTGAAAACGATTTTTCATTGGATCTATTCAATAATCCTATCAACATAATGATCCCGTTATAATTTTCTGTAAATTGTTTGGATGACAAACTTCACTTACATCCAATTTTTTGTTTCCGGCATGACATACAATACAAATAAAATGAGTCATTCAAATATGAACAAAATGTTTTGTAGCATAACACAGAATATTCTCTAACTTGTTAAGAAAGGATCCAAATCAGAGCAGTGTCTGTTGGCTCCTACAGCAATTTCCAGCTCTCCTGCTACACAGAAATAATTCATTTTTACCATTACCATCACAAAGAAAAAACAGAAGTGGAAACAAAAGCATCAAACTATATACCAGAACAACTCATGAAAACTAGCCACAGTAGCATCATCTAATCATGATATTCCAGTTCTCCTTCTCAAGCCAAAATCTGAAATTAGTGAAATTGTTTCTCCACCAATATAAGCAAAGCAATCAGATAAGAAAACTAGAGGTTAGACATCAGAAGTTGCTCCAGAAACTGGTAGTTATATATTTATTCTCGTTCTTATTTCTGTTTCAAGAACTTGAATAATATTTACCTTTTCATACTCATGTTTGATGAAAGAAATTGAATAATATTATATGGTGATTTGCATAACACAAAACTAATACATGAATAATTAAAACCAAATTTCTTTTTCAGTTGTCCTTTTAGTCGGTTTTAATTAATTGATTACTTCATTTTTTTAATCAAGCAATCTCTCTCAATCATTCTGTTTGATTTTTCTCTTATTCCTAAGTGGCAGTAATGGATAACAGAAGATTCTCTCTTAACATTTCAGTTCTCTCTATATGTTTATCAAATAATTCAATTAGATATTTATATTCTAAAATTTAACCTTTTGAATTCCAAATCTTAAACTTTCATTACTAAATATTTTTATTTTGTATGATTTTTTTTTCATTTTTTTAAAATTCATAAAAAATAAGTTTTCTGCAAATTTGTATACCAATTTTTATTTGTAAATAATTAGCTCTTAGATAAATTATCTAAGGATGAAAAATGAGTTTTCTGCAAATTTTTATACCAATTTTCATATTAATTTCAAGTTCACATATTTTTTCTAACTAATTTTAAATTCGCAGAAAACATTAATAAAAAATTTCTATTGTTTTATTTTTTTCAAATAAATTTATAAGATATTTTATTAAAAATTTTAAAATATGCATACAATTTTATGTTATATATATTTTTTAAAAATTTGATAAAATTCATAAAATTTATGCATACACCAGCTATTATTTCAGTGGCAAAACAAAGACAATGATCAAGCCGGATGATGGATTTTCATACATATGACAAGCACTAGAAGAATGCATTACTTCTATGTTTTTTATCAATAATAGTGAAACTGATCAACAGTGTAAAATGAGCATACATAAATTTAAGATTTGTTTTAAAAGCAATACGAAAATAACATAGGCATAAAATCAAACACGTGGTGTGTTTCATATTATGCACCACAATCCGGACATAAAATCAAACACGTATAATGTTTCATATTATTCATCACAATTAAAATTCAAAAATTAAGCATAATCAAATTAAAATTTGAATAATCAAAGTCTGACCGCAATGAATGGAATCACTTGCACGTTCCATTGATACTAGCACTGTAAGATTTGATGACGTTGGATTCTGCTAAGTGTGATGTAAAGAGCTCTCCTTCACTCTCCTTCCGAAAATGTTTAGCAAATGCAACGCAGTCTGACCTTCAAGACAGCGAACATGCGCTTGTTAGATTCCACGTAGTGATTAGACAACGCAAGGTTCGATGTCGAAGCATCTACTGCGGGAAAACAGCATCGCGAGTTTTACCACCATCAAAAAAAAAAAAGAATTGAACGAGAAGAAAATAAAGTTAAGCTAAAATGATTCAAAATATTTTGAATGGTGTAGTGATTTCTAAAGAGATGACTCTGAGTTGAGTGGACGGAAGATTGTTCTAATAATTTTTATTCAATTATTTTATTATATTAATATTATAATATAAAAATATTGTATAAAATAATGACAATATTAATACTTGATAAAAATAATTTTTTTATTATATTTTATATTAAAATTAATTATTGATTAATTTATTGAACAAAAAAATTATAATTAATTTAATACAATAATATTTTGTTAAATAAATTATTTTAATTATTTGAAAATAATAAATTAAAAATATTATATATTGTATTTTCCTATAAAAAATATTTTGTAAGAAAATTTATAATAAAAATTATCTATGATTTTTCTTACCATTTACATCGATATTATATATCAACCCTTCTTACGTATTTATATTTATAACAAAGATGACAAGAAATAATTTTCAATGTCAATTTTCTTTCAAAGTTTTATATATATATATATATATATATATATATATATATATATATATATATATATATATATATATATATATATATATATATATGTGTGTGTGTGTGTGTCTGTGATTAATATATTACAAGAAATTTTGCAGAAACATTTTACGATTTTTTTTTAATTATAGCTATTTCTTACGAATATTCTTTTTAGAAAAAAACACAGCTATTTTTTATAAAGAATTATTTAAAAAAATCTACATATTTTTTTCAGATAAATTTCGGTAAAAAAAAATCAGCAAATAATTATTTTGTAGTAATGTTTATTAATATTCTATAATCAAGACACAAGCATAAGTGACTTTTAATTTTTGACATTATATCAAGACTGCTGGCTTCCTGATGACAGCACATCGAAACACATTATTTGGCAGAAATTATAATTATGTTTATAAAATCGTAATTACATGGCAAATAATGATTTTAATTTTTGAAGGAAAATAATACTTTTGCAGACTTTAAATCTGCAGAAGGTAAAATGAACAGTTGCACAGATCATAGGAGACGAGTAAACCACCAAAGGCCAAAGGCAAATGAGTGGATCAACCCAAAAACAACTTGGCAGTGGTAACAAATTATGATTATTCAAACCCTTACTTTACAGAACAGTATACTCTTTCATAACTGAATCCACAGTGTGTCAATCACATCTCTTAATGCAAGGTAATCCTAGAACTTTTGACAGAGATAACAGCACTGTTTCATCAAATTGATGGTAAAAAAAACATCACTGTTTAAAAAGGATTAAAACGAGTGACAGGGTAACAAACAAGTGGCTTTGCCAATCCTGCAGAAAACGATGACCCTTCTTCCATACTAACCTTCTCTCCCTCTTTCATTTTCCATTCAAAACATTGGATCAGTGATGCAACTGTCACTTGTATGACTGATAAGGCAAGGGAAGATCCAGGACATCCCCTCCTACCATACCCAAATGGAAGGTACCTGAAATCACCACCGGTCATTATATTCATACGTTCAGTTCCACCGTTGATCCCACCAGTATCAGTGTCTTTTAAGAACCTTTCCGGTATAAACTCCTCTGGGTTGGTCCAAGCTTGTGGGTCCCGCATGATTGCATAGACATTGATGAGTGTCCGCGTGTGTCCCTTTATTTCATAGCCGTTGATGGTGCAGTCCTCTGCTGATTCTCTAAGAGCAAACGGTGCCGTTGGATGGAGTCTTAGCACTTCCTTAACAACAGCTTGGAGATATCGAAGATTTGGAACGTCCGATTCAGTGACCAACCTGCTAGTCCCCACCACTGCATCAATCTCTGCTCTCAGCTTCCTCGATACTCCTGGGTTGTTCGTGATTTCTGCCATGGCCCATTGCGACGCTGTTGAAGACGTGTCTGTTCCCGCTAGGAAAATATCCTTCCACCATGCCACAAAAACTGTAAAAGACTTTTTGACGTAAGAAACAGTAAATATCAGACAAAAGATAAACACTTACTAGGAAGAAGGCCTTGATATCGTTCCTTGTTAACTTCATTTCAGCATTTGGATCTTTGTAGACTTGCAATAGAATATCCATCATGTCCCCTGTTTCGGAGTTGTTCTCTTCATGTTCCTCTAAGATGTGCTCCAAAACTTGGTCGAATTTGCCAACTACTCTAACAAGCTTCTTCCCATACCCAAACAAGTCAAACTTTCCCAAAGGTCCCAACACCTCACCCATGCTTAATTTCGCTCCCAGATGCAAAAACTCCCTCACCAGGCCAAGAATCGCATCGGCATCATTAACGTTGTCAAAACAACTAGTGCTCATGGCCATCCGACACAGGATATTGTTGGTCAAAGCAGTGAGCTCAAAGCTCAAATCCGTGTCCCTGCCTTCAGAGGAACACACCACAAGAGATTTCAAGAGCTTCGTAATCTCCTGCTCTCGGATGTGCACGAAGCGCCCAACCTGCGTGCTCGAGAGAAGTTGAGTAACGCAAAGCTTTTTCATGAAGCGCCAATAAGGGCCATATGGGGCAGTGATGAAAGCAGAGCCTTTGTATAAGAAGTACTCTGAGGACCCAAACTGGGGTCGGTAACAGAAATTGAGGTCATGTGTTTTCATCACTTCTTTGGCGACTTGGGCGTTGGAGACAACTAGGCATGTTGAAGCACCTAAACGGAGTTGAATGAGAGGGCCATATTTGCGAGCCAGAGCTTGGAATGACTTTGGTATGACTGAACCCACAAGGTGGAGGTGGCCAATGATGGGAAGTGATGGTGGAGTTGGTGGGGGTCGAACACTGCCATTTTTGGTTCGTAAAATGCTAAGGGACTTGAAAAGTAGAATCAAAATAAGGAACCCTAAGGAGGAGGAGGAGAAGATGTAATACAAAAGGGTAGTACCAGCAGCATCCATAGATAAATTTTGGTTTTTTTTCTTGGAGTGGAACCTCTTACCAAGCTGCAGAACTTCCCAGACGTCTTTATTAAAATATTTTAACCCCTAATGTAAAATAAATAAAAAATTAATCCTCATTGATAAAAAAGCCGTAGAAAATAACTTGGTTGAAGTTTATCATCTATATTTATTAAAAAACATCATTAGATACATATTGTCTATAAAAAAGAAGAAAAAACGTATTTTTAGATTGTCTAAAATTCACTGCTTTAATTGATTTATAATAAAATCAGTTTTAAAAATATATTATAGTAAGTTACTATACAATTGTTAGAAATTAAATAATAAGAACCCTATGTTTGTTTAAAATGATATTATTCCCTCAATATTGTATATAGTATTTTTGGATTAAATAACTGTCAAAATATTTGATACAGTAAATAATGCATGCTATATGTTCTCTTTTTAAATATGAAATCAAATTTCTTAAAGTGATTTCAAGATTATTTTATTTCCTGCATTGTCTCCCTCCCAGAAAACAAATGTAATTTATTTTATATTTAGAATGACATCACTGATGGCAATACCTCAATAAATTCAATTAAATAATACCCAAGTCAAGGGAAAACAGACATCAAATGGTCCTAAACCGTCTCCATTATGAAAAGTGGTCCTCCCAATGGACAATAAACTAAATACAATAAATAAATAAAATATTTATTTATTTATTTATTAAAAATAGGATATTTACTTTTCATTTTTATTATATATTCTTTTTTAATAGTTAGACTATTAAATTAATTAAAAATAAATTTTTAATTTCTTATCTCTCTCTCTCTCTCTCTCTCTCTCTCTCTCTCATATATATATATATATATATATATATATATATATATATATATATATATATATATATGACAAAATGTTTAAAAATCAAATTTTTGTATAAATAAAAACTAAAATAGTTAAACATTTAAATGAATAAAAAATAATTACGGGGAAAATTTTAATAATATACATAATTACATTATATTATATATTATTATGAATAAAAGAAATTAGATTGTGTAATATTTTTTATATAATTTTTTCTCATTTTATCCTTCCTAGTAGGTAATTATTTTTAAATAATTTTCAACAATTTTTATCTAAATTATAGATTTTAATTGTTTTTTAACTAATTATTAAAGTTCTAATTTTATTTTAAATATTTTTTTAAAATACGGAAATTTGTGTTTTCATATATATATATATATATATATATATATATATATATTCTATTTATTTTTAAAATAAACATAAGAGATTTTTTTAATTTTTATTATATATATTTTAATGTAATCATTAATATAAATTATTATAATTAAAAAATAAATAAATCTTAAGGATGAAAAACAAATCTTTATTGATAATTTCATCATAAAAAAAAATTAAATAAAAATGATTAATTTTGTGAATATAGATACTATGGCATTCATATATTTGTATGGTTAAACAAGTAAATATTCACTCCTATATTTATAACAACTTTTTTAAGGATTTGAGGATAGCATTTTTGTCACATTCTTTTATCAGGTGGACCTAAACAAATTTTTTGAAGATTTGTCAGTACCTAATCTATAGAATTCGATAACATCATCTTCTATTGATTTGTTACTCTTTAAAAAAAATAAAAAAATAAAAACTTGATAATGGACTTTCTGACAGGGAATTAAGAGAATAGAAGAAGCTCCTTCTTTTTCATGTATCATCTTAATTTCTTTCTTTTGATCTCATAATTTATATGTAAAAGTTTTTTCTATTGAGCTGTTCTACACTTTCATATATATATTTTTTTTAGTTACTGCAATCTCATTTTATGGTATTTCAATCTTATTGAACATTGTTTTCAAATCATTAGGTGAGAAGTTGTTAATGTTTTAAATCTTTTACACGAAAATTGGATTAAAAGTCAATTTAGGAATCTAGATTATTCAATTCATAATGTATTTTTGAAGTTAAAAGTGATTTAAGAAACTATCAATTTGGAATATATTTAAAGAAGTTAATTTAAAAATATATTATTAATTGAGTATTTCATAATCTATTTATAAATTAACTGTTTTAAAAATGTATTTTTGGAACTGTTAATATAAAAATGTATTTTAAAATATCCAATCCAAAATATATTTTTGGATTGACTTGTTAAGAAATATACAGCAGAATACTCAATCTAAAATATAATTTTAGAACATTCAATTTAAAAATGAATTTAAAAAATATGAACATATAGTGTAAAATAAAATTTATATTAATTATGTGAGTGGTCCAGATCAATATTAGGCCCAGAAGGATTGAGAGAATATGAAGGAGTTTTCTTTATGCACCACCTCCATGATTCCTAAGTTGATAATGAATTTGGTTGTACTCAACGTAATTCTTTCTTTCGGATTATCAGTTCCGGAATATGTACTACAGATTCCCGATTACCCTTTTGGTACAGCTATCGTCATTCTGAAATGACAATTCACAATTTCATCAATATTATCATCACGATAATTTTATCTTATTTTAACCAAAACATGGGGTGCAGAAGGTGAAGCCTTTTGAATGGGAATTTGATACAAAAATAATTGATTATCATAAATTCGGTATATGCTGTGTTAGGTTTCATAAATTTATAATTTTTTTTTTCCTTTCAAAAAGCATGAACGATTCCACAATGTTTGGCGCATTGTTTGTACGAGTGATAAGGTTTGATTAGTGATTGTGTAAATAAAGCAAAACATGATGTGAGAATAGAAGTCATCCTTTAAATAGTATTCTACTATTTCTTGGAACAATTTATCATATGGTTTCCAATTATAATGATACATTTACTTTTAGCAAAAGACATAACCAGAAATATACGAAACCTTAAATATTTTGATCCCAATACCAAATCATGCAAGTTCTTAATTTAAGTTTTGAACACAGTCTTTCTGGATAATGATCGATGTCATAGTTGATCAAATAATTAAAATAAATAAATATAATATCAAGAATCTTTTTTAGGTTATTTTTTAAAGATTATATTTTTTTATCAAAACTTATCAATTTTTTAAATTAGAATAATAACAAAAAGAGGTTTTTCTGAATTAAAATATTAGATGAAACATAATAAAAATAGATTATAAAAATGTGGATTAAAATAATACAATTGATTTCCGATTCCAATTCAGTGTCACTTATCCAAGGTTACGAAATTAATTCAAAATTCACCAACTAAGCGAAGATAAATCCTAAATTATATTTCAATCCAAAATTCATCAACTAAGCGAAGATTAATCCCAAATTTTCCTTAACTCTTATTCCAACATGAAATTAACCAACTAAGCAAAAATTAACCCCAAATTATCCTTATACAATTAAGCATTGCATACATCACATAATCTCAGATCTAACACAGAATTAAGCAAACTGTGATATTAGTTTCGGTTTATTAAGCATAAACAAATTATAATTCAACACTGAGATTAGAAGATGAAGAGTTAAGAGAACAAACGAAATGAAATTGAAGGACAAAACCTCAAAGATCTACTTGCATTCTCCTCAAAAAATCAAAATAAAGATTTAGATATCTATGGAAAATCAAAAACGCAGAAAAAGAGACATAATTAAAATCAAAACAAGAATAATGAAAGGCGGTTGTGTGGTGGCTGCGTGATGTCCTTGTGTGTATTGTGATGTGTGATGTATCTCTCTTATATAAATAACTCTAACCCTATTCTTAATCTAGATTTGAGCCTAACTAATCCACAAAACACATCATAAGTTGACTTCAGTGCAGGTCCACCAACTTCAAACACGTGCAGTGTTTTCAATACTTATCCACCGTTTCTACTATTTTTGGAGGTCTAATGAATTTAGAAGACTTATATTACTGAAACATGTTCATTGGGTCGGCCTGGTGCGCTTGACCCATTTTGGATAATTTATGTAAATTCCAATTTAGCTTAGAATTGAATGATTTTAGATCATATGGAAAGCTGAATGTGTCTAGTTTATAATGCTTCCAGAATCATGATTTTTGGAGATCTGTAGAAAAAATGATAAATAAAACAGTAAATCAATGTTAGTACCCGTATAGAATAAAATATGATATTTGACCCAATTTTCTAAGCTCAAAATTGCTTTAAATTATAATATGGCATCTGACCCAATCTTCTATGCCCAAAATTGTTTTAACTATCCTAAAATTAATAATGAAAAAAAATTAGAACAAATAGATTCAAATTATTTAAAATCTGAATTATTTATCCAATGAGGCCCAATTAGTAAAAATTCACTAATAATAGAAAGTTAAGCCCAAAACACTAATTAAAATAAGTTCAGAAAATGAAGAAAATATTGGAATATAATGACTCATCACATATAATATTCAAGAACACTCATTTATTTTCTCTTCACTCCAGTACTAAAACCCTTCTTCAATTCTTAATTTGATTTTATTGGGTTCCATTTTATCCTTTTACCATATGAACTCTCATTTTAACTTAAAAATACCTTTTTCAATACTTACGCAACCTTCATTATAATTGCTTAGATAATATATACACGCTTATATGTTTGCTTCTTTGCAATTTTTAAGTGTCTTAATTTAACTTAAAGAAACTCAATAAACCTACTCTTACAAATTTGTTTACAATAGTTTGTACACAACTTATCAATGGTCGGTGATATGATATGTTTACACACATGCATATAATAAAAAAAAGTAAATAATAGTATAAACAAATTAAAAAACTTATGATTTACAAAGATAAAAGCTAATAAAAAGTATAAATGTAGTTATATTTACACAAAATAAGAAACATGTTTAAGTACATATAAAGAGGATATAAATAATATGCTTCTAAAGTATATATGTCTTTAACTTTATTCTATTAAAAAATGTTAAATTATTTATTTTTATATTTTATTTTAAATTTTATTCAACGAATGAATGAAATAAATAAAATGAGAAGAGATATATATGAAGACAAACTTTATAAGATGAT